AAAAGAAAAAATCTTGAATGCAGTGAGAAAGAAAAGATACATTATGTATAGGGGAAAAATAATTCAAATTACAGCAAATTTCTCATCAGAAACCATGGAGGCCATAAAGAAGTGGCACAATATTTTTCAAGTGCTGAAAGAAAAGATTTGCCAACCCAGAATCCTATACCCAAACAAAATATCACTTAGGAATGAAGGGGAAAGCAAGACATTTTCAGATGAAAAATTAGAGATAATTTGTTGCCAACAGATACACCCTAAATGAATGACTAAAGGAGGTTTCCTAAAAAAGGAAGCAGAAGAAGGAAGCTTAAAACTTCAGAAAGTAAGAAAGAACACAGTAAGCAAAAAATAAGTAAATACAATATCTTCCCTTCTCCTGAGTTTTCTAAATTGTTTTTGAAAGTTGATGCAAAAATTACAATGCTGTCTGATGTGGTTCTAAATGTATATGGAGGAAATATTTGAGATGATTATATTATAAATGGGAGAAGTTAGAGGGACACAAAGGGAGACAAGTTTTCTGTAATTTATTCAAATGAATAAATAACACCAGTAGACTTTAATGTTATGAATATATAATGTAATACCCAGAGCAACCACTAAAAAACTATACTAAGAGATACACTAAAAATAAATGCACATAAATCAAAATGGAATTATAAAAAACATTCAAATAACCTACAGCAAGGCAGGAAAAAAAGACAGAGAAATGAAAAACGGGAAAAAACTCCAGAATACAAAAAGAAAATGGCAGAATCGAGCCCCAACACCTCAATAATAGTATTAAATATAAATGGCCTAAATATACCAATTTAAAAACAGAGACTAAGGTTGAATTAAAAAACATGCCTATGTCTCTGTGCTTATTTCTACGTATTAGGTAGATCAGTTACATCTCCCAATCTTGGAAATGTGGTCTTATGTAGGGGATGTCTTATAGGCCCCAGCAGTGTGCTCCCCTCCCATCACCCATGCCAAATGCTCCAAGGATGTCCATTTTGTTGGCTCCATGTGCCTCTCTGTTATGGTGGGGCTGCTATGTTTTGCTGCTATAGGTACATGCTGCTACGGGTGCACTATTGGTTGGGGCAGGCCTCTGGCACAGACTGACTATGCAGTCTGGTGGTGCACAACTGCCTTGGGTGTGCTGGTGGGCAGGGCAGGACCTTGAAGGGGCAGTGCACAACTATTTCAAGTGCATTGGTGGGAAGGACAGATCCCCTGTGTGGCTGCTTTTGGGGCTCAGCACCACAAGTGTACTGCAGGCTCACTGGTGATCAGGGCTGATACCTGGGGTGGGCTGCCTGAACTGCCCGACTGTGCTTGATTGCCTTGGGTGCTCTAATGGGCAAGACAGGCCCCTGAACTAACAGGCCAGAGGAAGAAATCCACTGGCCCCTGCCAGTGTCTGTGTCAGCACTGCTGAACTAGGTCACAATAATGGCTGCTGCCAGTGTCTCAGTCCCTGGGTGGGGGGGGGGGGGGGGGGGGGGGGTGAGCCCAGCTGGCTCCTGACTCTCTTGGATGTGCTCTGAGCTTAGTAAGTGAGTCTCTTTTACCAATGGACTATGCACTTTTCTATCTGGTGTTTTTGTGCCGGTTTCTGGATTGAGTGGGTTTGTGCATGAGCCCTTTAAGAGCAGGTTTTCCTTTTCCTGAAGTTTTGTAGTTTTTCTAGGCATATTCTCCATTGGTTTTCAAAGCTGAGTTTTTTTGGGAGCTCATCTCTTCTGTGCTGAGTCTAAGGGCTGGGGTGCATCATGTGGAGCTTGAATCCCCTGTTCTTCCAGGAAAAGCTCCAGACCTTTGAGATCACTCCCATCCGTGAAGCACCACAGCTAGGGTGTATTTTTTTCCTCAGCAGGCCTCTATGTCTGCCTCTTCCACCCCTCTCTGTGTTTTCCCTTGTTGTGGAGGGTTTTTTCATCCAGTTTACAGATCTCCCTCAGAGGAAATTGTTCCACAGGTAGTTGTAGGTTTGTTGTGTCTATGGGAGGAGGCGAGCTCAGGAGTCTCCTATGCCACCATCTTCCACTCTCCATAATTTTAGTTGGAGACTTCAACATCTATCTCTTCTATCTTTAATTTCTAGAATAACTAGACAATCAGCAAGGATATAGAAAAACTCAACACCATCAGCAACAAACAGAATCTAATCAACTTTTATAGATGGCTCAACCCAATAACAGCAGAATGTGTACATTCTTCAAAGTGCCCAGAGAACATATACTAACATATACCATATCCTGGGCCATAAAACAAACTTGAAAAAAGTGTAAAAGAATTTAAATTATGCAATGTGTTCTCTGACTGCAATGGAATAAAACTAGAAGTGAACAACAGAAAGATAAGAGGAAAAATTCAAAATACTTGGAAACTAAACAACTCATCTCTACATAACCTATGTGTCAAAGAGAAAGTTACAAAGAAAGTTTAAAAAATACATTGAATTGAATGAAAATGGAAATACAACATATCAAAATAATGGGACACAGATAAGCAGTGCTGAGAGAAAAATTTATAGCACTAAGTGCAAACATTAGAAAAGGAAAACATATCAGATCAATAATCTAAGCTGTCCCTTCAAGAACCTAGAAAAAGAAGAGAAGAATAAATTGAAAGCAAGAAGAAGAAAAGAAAAAGTTAGGATTAGAGTAGAAATTAATTAAATTGAAAACAGCAAAACAATGGAGGAAATCAATAAAACAAAGAGCTGGTTCTTTTAAAGGATCATTAAAGATCAACAAAAATTGACAAACCTCCAGTAAGATTAGCAAAGGAAAATAGAGAGAAGACACAAATTACCAATATCAGAATGCTATCAAGCCCTGCAATAATAAAAAGGTTAATAAAGGAATACTGTGAAATAACTCTATAGATGTAAATTTGACAACTTAGATGAAATATACCAATTCCATAAAAAACATAAACTACCACAACTCATCCAATATGAAATAGGTCATTTGAATATGCCTATGCTATTAAGGAAATAGAATTTTTAATTAAAATATTCCCACAAATAGGAGTCTCCAGGCCCAAATGGTTTCACTGGAGAATTATATCAAATATTTAAAGAGGAACTAACACAAGTTCTACATGATCTTTTCCAGAAATTTGGAGAAGAAGGAACACTTCCCAATTTAGTTATTTAGTATTACCCTGATTCCAAAACCAGATGGAGACAGTACAAAAAAAGAAAACTAAAGACTAATATTCTTCATGAATATAGAGACAAAAATCCTTAACAAAATATTAGCAAATAGAAATCAGCAATTTGTAAAAAGAAATACACACCACAACTAAATGGAGTTTACCATAGGGATGGAAACTGGCTCAATATTCAAAAATCAATCAATATTAGCTTCCATATTGACAGGCTAAAGAAGAAAATTCACATGATATTATGCAGAAGATATTTGACTGTTTATGATAAAATGTCTCAGAAAAATACAAATAGAGCAGAACTCCCTCAACCTGATAAAGAACATCTACAAAAACCCTACAACTAACATTATACTTAATAGTGAAAGACTGAATGATTTCCCTCTAAGATTGGAAACAAGGTAAGGATGTCTGTTCTTATAAGTGTTATTCAATATAGTACTAGAAGTTCTAGCCACGGCAGTAAGGCAAAGAATGGCATGTGGATCAGAAATAAAACTGTCACTATTTTCAGATGACATAATTATCTACATAGACAATCCCAAAGAATCTAGAAAAACCTCCTACAAGTATCATGTGTTCAGCAAGATCACAGGATACAAAGTAAACATACAAAAATCAGTTATATTTCTATATACTAACAATGAATACATGAACACCATAATTAAAACTACAATAACATTTACTATCACTCAAAAAGGAAATACTTAGGTATAAATCTAATAAAACATGTACAGTATTTGTATGCTGAAAACTATACAACACTGATGAAAGAAATCAAACAAAATCTAAATAAGTGGAGAGACACACCATGTTCATTGGTATGACTCAATATAGAAAATTGGAAGACTCAATATAGTAAAGATGTAAATTCTTCTCAAACTGATATGCAGGTTTAACACAATTCCTATCAAAATCCCAAAAGCTTTTTTTTGTAGACATAGGCAATATTATCCTAAAATTTCTATGGAAAGGGAAAGGAAGTAGAATAGCTAAAACAATTTTGAAAAATAAAGTGGCAGGAATTAGTCTACTCAATTTCAACACTTACTGTGTAGCTACACTACTCAAGATTGTGTTACTGGCAGAGGGAAAGACACATAGATCAATGGAATAAACAGAGAATCCAGAAATAACCCACACAAATATGCCCAACTGTTTTTTTCAAAGGTGCGAAAGATTTCAATACTAGCAACAAATGGTGCCAAAACAATAGGACATATATACACACATTCATAAAAATCTCACATCTTGTCCAAGTCAAAATGGATAATAGATTTAAATATAAAATGAAAAGGTATAAAACTTTTAAAACAAACATAGGATCAAGTACTAGGGAGAGTTAGATTTGACACCAAAAGTGTGATCCATAAGAGGAAAAATAAATAGATAGGGCTTTATCAAATATAAAAACTTTTGCCCCACAAAAGATCCTATTAAGAAGATGAAAAGGCAAGCTACAGAGTGCAAGAAAATATTTGCAAACTACATACCTGACAAAGGATTAGTATCTAAACTCACAATAGTAAAAAAAGCAAACAATCCAATTAGAACATAGGCAAGAGACATTTCACAGAAGAAGATATGCAGATGGAAAATGAGCACACAAAAAGATGCTTAATTTAATTAGCCATTAGGGAAATACAAATTAAAGTCACAATGAGATAATACTGCATACCTATCACAGCAGCTAAAATAAAAAATAGTCACAACACCAAATACTGGAAAGGATGCAGAAAGACTGGATCACTCATACATTGCTGCTGAAAATGTAAAATGGTAGAATCACTCTAAAGAAATAGTGTGCAAAACAGTTTCTTAAAAAACTAAACATGCTGCTCACTTTGGTAGCACATATACTAAAATTGGAATGAAACAGAAAAGACTGCCATGGCCCCTTTGCAAGAATGACTTGCAAATTTGTGAAGTGCTCCATATTGTTATATCTATAAGATATTTTATGTAATCCTTGTGGTAACCACAAAGCAAAAACCTATAGTAAAGACACCAAATGCAAAGAGAATGGAATCAAAAGGCACAGAGTGGCTGAATGGATTAAAAAACAATATCCAATTATATGCTGCTTGCTAGAGATTCATTTCAGTTTTAAGGACACACATAGCAAAAAGTAAACAGATGGAAAAAGATATTCCATGCAAACGGAAACCAAAAGAGATCAGGGGTAGTTATATCAGACAAAATAGACTTTAAGTCAAAAACTATCAAAAGAGACAAAGAAGGTCACTATATAATGTTAAAGGGGTCCATTCATCAAGAAAATATAACAGTTGTAAATATATATACACCCAACATTGGCACACCTAAATGCATTAAGCAAATACTGGCAGAGCTGAAGGGAGAAATATACAATACAATAATAGTAGGATACTTCAGTATCCCACTTTCAGCAATGGATAGATCATCTAGACAGAAAATCAATAAGGCAACATTGGACTTGAACTAAACTTAGACTAAAAGGACTTAACAGACATACAGAAGATTCCACCCAATAGTAGAATAATATACATTCTTTTCAAGCAGACATGAAATATTATCCAGGATAGATCCTATATTAGGTCACAAAACAAGCCTTAGCAAATGTAAGATTGAAGTCATATCAGCATCTTTTCTGACCACAATAGTTTGAAACTAAAAATAACAGGAGGAAAACTGGTAAATTCACAAATATGTGGAAACTAAACAGCACACTTCCTAACAACGAATAGGGCAAAGAAAAAAATCAAAAGGGAAATCAAAAAGTATCTTGAAGCAAATGAAAATGGAAACACAACATACCAAAATGTATGAGATCCAGCAAAAGTAGTTCTGAGAGAAGTTTATAGTGGTAAACACACACATTAAGAAAAAAGAGAGATCACAAACAAACGACCTAAGCTCACACCTCAAGAAATTAGTAAAAGAAGAACAAAGTAAGCCCAAAGCTTTCCTTCCTTAGCAGAAGGAAGGAAATAACAAAGATCAGAGCAGAAATACACCCTGAAAAACAAGAAAAAATATCAACAAAACTAAGAACTGATCTTTTAAAAAGCTAAACAAAACTGACAAACCTTTATCTAGACTAAAACAAAAAAGAGAGAAGACTCAAATAAATAAAATCAAAGATGAAAAAGGAAACATTACAACTGACACCACAGAAATACAAAGGGTCATAAGAGACTACTATGAACAATTATATAGCAACAAATTGGATAATCTAGAAGAAATGGATAAATTTCTACAAACATACAGCCTACCATGACTGAATCATGAAGTAGAATATATGAATAGATTCATAATGAGTAAGAAGATTGAAACAGTAATCAAAAACCTGCTAAGAAAGAAAAGCCCAGGACCAAATGGTTTCACAGGTGAATTCTACTAAACGTATAAAGAAAAATTAACACCAATCATTCTCAACCTCTTCCAAAAAACTGAAGAGGAGGGAACACTCCCGAACTCATTTTTATGAGGCCAGCCTTACTGTGATGCCAAAACCAGATAAGGGCACTACAAGAAAACAAAACTACAGGCCAATATCCCTGATAAATATAGATGCAAAAATTCTCAACAAGATATTAGCAATTTCAATTCAACAGCATACTAAAAGGATCATACACCACAATCAAGTGAGATTTATCCCTGGGATTCAAGAATATTCGTTCAACATATGAAAATGAATAAATATGATGTACCACATTAATAGAATGAAAGAAAAAATCATATACTCCTTTCAACAGATACAGAAAAGGCATTTGACAAAATTCAACATTATTTCATGAGTTCAACAAATAGGGTAAAAAAGGAATCTGCCTTAACATAATAAAGTCCATATATTACAAACCAACAGCCAACAGCATACTCAATAGTGAAAGATTGAAAGCTTTCCCAATAAGATCAGGAACAAGACAGGGAGGCCCACTCTCACTACTCCAATTCAACGTAGTACTGGAAGTCCTAGCCAGAGCAACTAGGCAAGAAAAAGAAATAAAAAGCATCTAAATCAGAAAGGAGGAAGTAAAATTGTCTTTTCAGATGATATGACCATATATATAGAAAATCCTAAACACTCTACCAAAAAAACTGTTAAAATAAACAAATTCAGGAGAGTTGAAGGATACAAAATTGATGCACAAAAATCAGTTGCATTTTAATATACTAAGAACAAAGTACCTGAAAAGGATATAAAGAAAACAATTCCATCTACAATAGCATCAAAAAGAATAAAATATTTAGGAATAAATTTAACCAAGGAAGTGAAGGATCCATACAATGAAAACTACAAGAGTTTGATGAAAGAAGTTGAAGACACAAATAAATGAAAGATATCCCATGTTCATGAATCAGAAGAAGTAATATCACTAAAATGTCCGTATTACCCAAAGCCATCTACAGATTCAAGGCAATCCCTATCAAAATTCCAATGGCATTTTCACAGAAACAGAAAAAACAATCCTAAAATGCATATGGGACTACAAAAGACCCCAAATAGCCAAAGTAATCTTGAGAAAGAAGAACAAAGCTAGAGGTATCATGAGTCCTGATTTCAAACTATGTTACAAAACTATAGTAATGAAAACAGTATGGTCCTGGCATAAAAACAGACACATAGTCCAATGCAACAGAATAGAGCCCAGAAATATACCCCCATGCATATGGTCAACAATATTTGACAAAGGAGTCAAGAATATACAATGGGGAAAGGATAATCTCTTCAATAAATGGTATTGGGAAAACTAGATGTTCACATGCAAAAGAATGAAATTGGACCCCTACTTTACACCACTCACAAAAATTACCTCAAAATGGATTAAAGACTTAAATGTGAGACGAAAAATTGTAAAACTCTTAGGAGAAAACATAAAGAAAAAGTTCCTTGACACTGGGCTTGGCAACAATTTTTTGGATATGACACCAAAAGCACAAGCACTAAAAGTGAATATCAATAAGTGGGACTACATCAAATGGAAAAGCTTCTGCAGAGCAAAAGAAACAATCAGGAAAATGAAAAGGCAACCTATAGAATGGAGAAAATATTTGCAGATCATATATCTGATAAGGGGTTAATATCCAAAATATATAAAGAGCTCATACAACTCTATAACAAAGAAACAATCTGATTTAAAAATGAGCAAAGGACTTGAGTAGGCATTTTCCCAAAGAAGACATATAAATGACCAGTAGGTACACGAAAAGATGCTTGACATCACTAATCATCAGGGAAATGCAAATCAAAGCCACACTGAGATATCACCTCACACTTTTTAGAATGGCTATCATCAAAAAGACAAGAGACAACAGGTGTTGGCAAGGCTTTGGAGAAAAAGGAACCCTTGTACACTATTGGTGGGAATGTACACTGGTGCAGCCACTATGAAAAACAGTATGGAGGTTCTTCAAAAAATTAAAAATAGGATTATCATATGATCCAGCAATCCCACTTCTGGGTATATATTCAAAGGAAACAAAGTTGCTGTCTTGAAGAGATATCTGCACCCTCATGTTCACTGCAGCATTAATCACAATACCCAAGAGACAGAAAAAACCGAAGTGTCCATCAATGTACAAATAGATGGAGAAAATTGGTGTATTTATATAGAATGGAGCATTATTCAGCCATCAAAAAGAAGGAATTTCTGACTTTTGCGACAACATGGTTGGAGCTTGAGGGCATTATGCTAAGTGAAATAAGTCAGACAGAGAAAAACTGTATTCTCACTTATATGCAGAATCTGAAAAAGCCGAATCATAGAAATAGAGTAGAATGGTAGTTTCCAGGGACTGTGGGGTGGGGGAAATGGGAAGATGTTGGTTAAAGGATACAAACTTCCAGCTATAAAATATGTAATTTGAGGAATCAAATTCACAGCATGGTGACTATAACTAACAATACTGTTTTGTATACTTGAAAATTAAGAGAGTAAATCTTAAACCTACTCTCAAAAAAAGGTAATTGTGTGAAAGGATGGAGGTGTTAACTAACCTTATTGTGGTAATCATTTCACGATATATGCTTGTATCAAACCATCACATTGTATATATCTTTAACTTATATATATTGTATGTCAATAATATCTCAATAAATCTTGGAAAAAACAGCAACTTGCAGCTACCGTATGACCCAGCAGATGCACTCCTGGACGATTACACCAATGAAATAGACTTACATTTATACAAATCTGTACACAAATGTTTACTGCAGCTTTATTCATAATAGCCAAAATCTACAAAGAACCTAGATGTCCTTCAACAGGTAAATGGATAAGCAAACTGTAGGACATTCATGCCATGTAATAATCATGCAATAAAAAGGAAAAAAACTATTGATACACACCACAACCTGGGTGAATCTCCAGAGAAATATGCTGAATAAAAAAGTCAATCCCAAAAGTTTACATACTGTATGGTTCCTTTTACATAATATTCTTGAAATGACAAAATCATAGAAATGGAAAACAAATTGGTGGTTACCAGGAGTTAAGCATGAGGTGGGGGCTGGAGAGAAGTGGATGTGGCTATAAAAGGGCAGTGTGAGGGAACCATGTAGTGATGAAATGTCCTGTATATTGACTGTATCAATGTCAATATCTGGTTAAGTGATATTGTGATTTTGCAAAAGTTACCATCAGTGAAACTGGGTTAAGGGTACACAGGATCTCTCTGTATTATTTCTCACAACTTCATGTGAATCTATAAACATCTCAAAGTAAAAAGTCTATTTATTAAACATATTTTTCTTTAAGTAAGTGCATGCTAAGGGTGAAAATATTTAGGGGAGGGCACAGCAGCTTAATCTGTGTTTGGGCAAGAGAGAACTATGGAATTGCCTCAGTAACAATAGCTTCCCTTTACTAAGCACTTTGTCTCTGGCATGGTTCAAACCCTTTACATGCATTCTCTCATTTAATCCTTTCAGCAACCCTAAGAGATTTAGAGAGCTTAAGT